GGCCGGCTCGGTTGTGTCACAGGCTGCGCAAATAGATTGCTGCATAATGGTGTCACTAGAAAATGTGAGCTGCCCAGCTCGTCTGTCCGCAAATCGCTGGAGCTATTGTCCGACAACCCACTAACGCACGCACTACCGTTTACACTTGCTACCGCAAGATCAAAGTCTGATAGAGCATCCACTGAGAAATAATCTGCAATGTTAAATTCTGAAGTAAATGGTGGCTCGTCACCCACACGTTCAGGTTCCACTTCCACGCATATCGACGTTGCTTCAGGTGGGAATGGATATGGAAGTGGTTTCGATGGAGATAACACTGGTTCTCCATCCGAGTCTGTGTCACTACTTTCCTCGCTCGGACTGTGCACCGACTCAGGCGGAGTCTTTGGTCGAAAGTGTAGCCTGATTGTTAATAAATATTCGATAATATTTGATAATAATATAGTAGTATTAGTATATCACATTAATAAGCCAAGTAATGTATTATTGTTATGACATGAATTGGTAATTGACTCGTACCATTCTTTCTTAATAGGCGTACTATTTGTGGCAGTTGTATTTGAGTCTGTAGCCTCACGTTTTTGTTCGTGTATCGTAAAATCTAACGAAGACCACATATCATCCAAATTCGAAGTACAGCGATCCAGTATAACTCTGAAATGTATTGTACAAATGAATATCAGAAAAGGAACAAAAAATGTATCTCTTTAAATGAATCATTATAACAGCACCTGCCACCTCGACCAAGTCTTCTTCTAGCAAGACCAATACACTTAGGTACTGGTTTACTAATGCTGGTGAGAGCGAACCTATACTTTTTATCAGCCAGACCTCCTTCACGTTTATCACACCAAGGCCAATTTCCAAATCCACCTAATACAGGCTGTAAAGAAAAAGCTCTATATTTACAATTCTGAAAAAACGAACATTGAAACTGTTTCGTATTTTACAAGTATGTTGCAAGGAGAAATTGACTGTTAGATAAATTCGCAAAGTTAATAATTATGAATAATACATAACGTAATGTAAAACAAGTTTTCGAATATTTTCGTATAGATTATAGTCTTCAAAATAATTAATTGTACTAACAGGCAGATAAGTGCTATTTCTATTTCGTCGAAAGACGTATTGACCCTCATCAGTAGTATCCTCGTCATCCCTATCCGAGGGAAGAGAAGGTTGAGAATGAGAATGTGATGGAATAGGACTGTCTTCGTCTGAACTTAGTAAAGGATCCAGTCCACTTCCTAATACTCCTGCTCGATTTCCTCGGCCTCCTCCACTGCCTGTTCCACCACGTATACCAGTTTCGTCGAGGCTACCTCCTCTACTATCTGTTTTATGTTTCCGCTTCTTATATTGCCTCTTTTCTTTTCTAGTAACAACTTCATCCTAATGAAATAATATATACAAAATATTATTATTCAATGATTAGTGTTTTAAAGAAAAAAATATTTTTTAAAGAAAAAAATTACTCACTTTATTACTAACTTTATTTGCCCAATTTTGATGAACTCCAAATTGATTGGTAAAAAGCGGAGTGAATGCTGGTCTTGGAGTTTTTAATGCAGATACTTCTGCTAAAATCTGACCATTAAAATCTTGCGCTTGATACCTGCGTATGATATTTAACAAATTTATTAGTTTAAACGTTAGATATAAAAAAAGAATCAATATGTCAGGATACAAGAAACAAACCTCTTTTCGTAAACTTCTATTGTAAGGTGCAAATGTTCTCGTTTCGTTTTTTCTCGACGTTTCACCAATTCGAGTAGCGTGACAGCCCTACTAAGATCTCTTCGCAACTTGAGCATTTTTTCATAACTTGTTTCATCATTTTTACGAATTTTACGTGTTTGCATTTTTTCTGTTCTACGTCTAAATGCTAAGTAAGGATTATTGGCAGCTGAACCTAGTCGATGCTCCGTTTTGACAGTTAATAATAAAGGATGTTGCTACAAATTAGATAATATTTTATTAAATATTTGTTGTTTATAATACAACATCTATTAACCATAAAAAAAAAAACATAAGAATGTTGGCCATTAGCAACCAACGTGGTCTGGACAGAAAGTCTAAGGCCAGTACATAGGGACTGGCATAGCATTTAGTTCATTGACAGTATTATTATTTCTAATAATATGTTATATGCTAATACTCTATAAGCTGTGAAATATAATCATATCTTTGCTATTTTCAAAACATTATATAAACTTACTGTATTAAGTCGTTTGTTTAACCAATAATCAAACACTGAAATAATAAGATCATCATCCTCTTTTAAGAGCGCTTTAGCTTCGTTAAGGGTAACTACATTTTGGCCTGAACTCTTTTCTAATCGATCCATCATCTCTTCGAATTGAAGTGGAGTTATATCCATTTTACGACTTTGAACAGCAACCCATTTTTCATCTTCTGAATCCATATCATAATCTGGTATATCTTGCTCCATTGCAAAGGCTATCAACAAAAAAAAACATTATTTTTAACAAATTTCATTGTATTTTGCTTTATAAGTATAAAACGAAAAATTATACAAATAAAAATATTTGACTTATAAATACATACATATAAACACATACTTATAACTAGATACATGTATACGATATTCAACCATACATACGTTGCATATGAATAAGTTGACGAGGCAACTTGCAATCAGCAGGATATATTTTGTCATAAGCTTCAACATCTGCCAAGTCAGTAACTTCAGGGGTAGGAATGATTAAACCCGTACATATTGCCCTTTGAAGATGATGTTCCTTTACATAAAAAATATAAATAATCAATATGCACTGATATAGATATTATTACAGTTACATATATATATTTAGTATACGATGTTTTTCAAATGTTCATTATTATTCACATTATATGTACGAATTTCTCTAATATAAATGAAATAATAATATATCCAAATATTAAATAAAAAAACATTTGATTTATATGAATTTATCATCTTATTCTTACTATAATATTATAAGATATATGAATATGTATATTTTGTGATATTTATTTCAAGTGCATTCTCTGAAAATACTATTGCATGTAATCAAAAACTGTATTGCACAATAATACAAATATAATCGATTAAAATCAGGGTAACTTAAACTTACATACGAGATACATTCTGTGTTAAAACCAGAACATTTTTTTTAAATAATTTATCTAACTGTAATTTGATAAATTATGCTAAATAACTGCTAAAGATCAATATCGGTTAACATTACAGTAGAAACTTTGAGCAGCGGAACTTCTTACTTTATGACGATACTTTTATCAATATAAAGAAATGCAATGCGTCAAATTGATTAGTTTGTATTATCAAACTTTAAAATAGAATTCATTTTTATTTTGATGATATTGACATCTTGTTAAGCTATTCGATAAATAAAATACAAGATATAAGTTACAGAGACGACAATAAAACTAAGCATTTTGGTGATTAAATTGAGCAGACCTATTATAAATGTATAAAAGTATAAACTCTTTCTACATTTAAATAATATGTAAGATAATAAAATAGTTAAGAAAAGATGAAGAATTTCTAAATAAACTGTTGGAAATAATAAATTAAAGAAATAATAAAAATTTGGTGACAACAAGTATCTGCATCAGTTTCATCTGAACTGATAATGTTATTTCATAAAAAATATTGCATGACAACTGTCAAATCATGGAAAGATAGAAAAATAAATGTTCTTATAAAATAAAAATCTTGAAAAAATAAGTAAACAATAACGAATAAAAGGAAAAAAGTAGAAATTTTTAATGAAAGAATAGAAGAACGATATGTAATGCCATCTTGCGGTTGTTTATGAAAGCACAATCGAATGTAAGATGGCCGTTGTGGAAAACATACTGGAACGAGGGCTGGACAGTCAACTTACGCATTCCTCCTCCTTTTCCATGCCGCTGGGCATTTGGGGCACTGCGCGATTAATGGCCGAATAATCAGGCAAATCTGGCAATTCTTCAGCCATATAGATCGGCATTGGCTTGGAGACGTCCAGGGCGCGAGCCCTGAACGACAGCTTGCTCATCTTGAGGCGAGTGACTCTCGCGTGTTGACAACCAAATTGGTTGGCTCGTACCGTGAGGCCAGTCGGGTTGGTTCGGGCCTCGGGCTTACTGAACGTGAATTTAATTGGGCCTGTTTAGGGGCCCAGAGGCCGTATTACCCGGCACAGAGAGCGCTCAGGGCCTCATCGTTCTCCGGCCATCGCGCTGGAACACGGTCACTCAGTCACCAAACGAAATATATCACTTTGAAAACATGTTTGCGTGACACGGTCCCTGCTCAAAGCCATCATGGCCGACGCACAGCCATTTAACACGTTCAGCCCAAACAGTTCCGGGATTCGACACGAGTCGCGCGGGAATCGGCCTGTCGAGAATCCACGAGTCTGTTGGAAGTACGCTCTGTCACAAGCCGAATTTCCATTCACATTAATCGCGAATATATATACGCGTCGTTTATGATTTTTCCTTTTTTTCTTTGAATTTTTCCTGCGCTCGTATCACTGTAGATCCTTCTTACTTTATGAACAATTTAATAGCTTCCTACTTCATGTGATTCACCTTTCCACTCTGTAATGATAATATTGTTACGTTACATTCTTTCTTTCTTTCTTCTTCTTATTTTTTATTAGAAATGGGAACTAAGATGATCTATGTATCGATTCTCGTCGTTTACAACTAATTACAGTTCTTTTTTAAAGTCAAATATTTTAAATACTTAACAAAGATAAATATGATAAAATTAATTTCCATTACATTTTCGTTACTCCGCAATAGAAAAATGAGGTATCCTAATTTTTATTTTTGAAATTTTTTGATTTGCTTCTAAACTCTATATTTAATCTAAATATATTTTAAATTTATATTTATGAAAAATAATTGCTAAAGCCAATCGCACGAAGATATTACAAATAAGAAAAATGTATTCTATAAGGTTTTATGAATAAATTCAAATTTGTTGTTCTTAAGTTGTGCGCATGTGTCCATAAGTACGTGGATATCTTGAACATTTACAAATACTTTCTCTGATAAATTGTACAAAAAAAAGATAAATTTGTTATTCTACGACAATTGTTATTGTATACTTTGATGTAAACAGAAATTATTGATAAAAGTTTCAGATCATTTATCAAATATCCTGTTTGTATGTGTGTTGACTTGCGTAGTTTATTCAGGAAGGTGGAACAGGCATTCGTGCATATGACATGGCGCAGGTTATAGCAGTTTTATCCACTATTCCAAAGTTATCACATCATCTTCGTACTCGTCTTCCAAATCTAACTATCTACGATGTTTTGTCAGGTATTCAAAAGATAGATCATAATTGCTATAATAACTTACCTTTGCACCTTGCTATGTTATGCGTACGACGACAGCTCTTCCGAGCACGTGTCAAAATCTACGAAACACAGTAATCCACCAATCGTCACAACATGAAATTGCATATTCCCCCACTCCAAATTTACGCATGGCGGGAATCCATTTGTATTCAATTCAAATATTGCCGCGTTTTTTATTTTTAATTTTTTTATGACTTTACGTTCACTTTCTTTTTCTTTTCTTTATATTTGATAAATAAATGCATATATAATTTGATAAAAGCATTCATGTCGTTATAATATATTTTGATAAAAATAGATTGTGTTCATTTAGAAAAAGACAATACGTTATCAAAACTCAACAAGGCAGAAATATTGGTGAGCGATTGCGATTTATTAATATCATATTTGGGAAAATTACCAAAACTTCAATGGGTACAATCAACGTGGGCAGGATTGGATAAATTAATTCCATTTATTCAAGAAAAACCATTGAATTTTATTCTTTCGCGCTTTACTGATCAAAGTTTTGGTTTAGCTATGTCAGAATATGTAATAGCGCAAATTGTGAACTTTGAACGAGATCAAAAACAGCAATATGAAAATCAAAAAAAGGCAGATTGGAAAAGAGATGACAAAATACATGATCATAGATTAATTCGTGATTTAAATATAGGCATTTTAGGATTGGGAAATATCGGAAAATTTAGTAAGGACATATTTTATATTCCTTAGTCGATATTGTAACAATAAAGTGTGTTAATTTTATATGAAATAGTAATTTATAATTTCAACAGTTGCGCAAAATTTAAAAATATTTGGGGCCACGGTTTGGGGAATGACACGCACTCCTTTAAACGAACATTTAAACTACATAGACGAACATAGAACAACAGATCTATTACCTGATATATTAAAAAACTGTGATTACATTATAAACGTATTACCTACTACTAAAAATACAATTGGACTTTTAAATGGGAATATTCTGGAACATTGTAAGGATCGCAAGGCCGTATTTATTAATATCGGTCGTGGAACGATTATTGATGAAGCAGATCTTATAAATGCTTTGGAACGCAAATGGATACACGCTGCAATTTTAGATGTTTTTCAAGAAGAACCATTACCAAAAAGCAGTAAATTATGGCATTTATCAAATGTTAGAATTATTTCTATAAATAAATATGCTTTATTCTACGAGACATTCGTAACTTTTCATAAATACTATTATTTGATTTTTATAGGTAACTATTTCACCACATATTTCCGGTGTGACACGTCCACAAGATGTTGCTAGACTGTTTGCAGAAAACTATACAAAATACAAAAATGGTGAACCTATACCGAATAGTTTTAATTATAAAACGGGTTATTAATTATTTTCAATTAATTGTCATACATATTTGTAATAAAATAAACTCCTATTGTGGATAAAAATAATTATCATTGGCAAAATAAGTAAACATGGCAATGACCAAAATATTTCTTATATCATTGATCATGTTTGTTAATAATATTTCTGTAATATATATATATACTTACTTTTATATAACACTTTGTAAAGAAAAAAAAATTAAACGTTATTTTATATATATTAATGTATGAATATATTACATTATAAATAAATAATGTAGTTATTCTGTGCAAACATAATTTACAAAATATCTCTGCGTAGTCCCTACAATTGTTTAATGGCTGTCTGTATATTAAATGTGTCGCAATGTAATAAAATAAATGCATTAGAAATGAATTAAATACAAATAAATAAATAAATAAATATAGAGAAGAAAAGAAATCTTCTTTTTCATAACTTTTGTAAAGTAAATATTACAGGATGTAAAGAAATGTACCAATTGCGGCATATAGACAATCGTTAATTGAATATACTACTGTACATAATAATTTGCAGTATTATTATATATACTCCGTTATTTATAAAAAAATTACATAGTGTTGCTTACTCTGTTTCTTTTTTATTTTTACATATATACGTCGAAAGAACTTAGTGTAAAATAATTCAGATTAAGCATACCACTTACTCAATTTCTTGAGGACTTGGCTGTGTAGTAGGTTTTAAACCACGAATGCTAAGATCGTATACTACTTCTTCAATTTTCTTTACGTTATACTTCAAGGCATCAAATCGTTTTCTTAAAGCATCATTTTTCAAATTTAGAAGTCTAAAACCTGCGTTTAGTTCATTCACAAATTTGGCTATTTCTATGGGCCGGTTATAATCGCCATTTGTGACACTGTTTACTGCAAAGCGGCTCTACAAAAATAGAATGAAAAAATTAAATTTGTTTACGAACAAAGTAAGAAATAGATATAGAATTACAAGTATACCAATTCCGCTGATAATTGAAGTAAACCCATCAGAAAATCTTCTAGATCTAAATGAAAGCCATCTTCCCGATTACTTTTAACTGAAAATATGACCGAAATTAAATCTCTATAAGGATATTAATTTTAAAGCATAATTTAAATTTGCGATACATACTTCCTAATATTTCAGCAACAGTATCTTTAGTCGCCAATATTTTAACTTCCAAATATACAGTTAATGAAGCTAAGAAACATAATCGTTGAGTGACAAAACGCCATTGATCATTAAATCGATAATACTGATCCTTTGGAACAATTTCAGCAAGTTCAGCATATTGCTTGCGTACATCTTCAAATAATTCTCTGGCTTTTGCACAATACTGTGAGACAACTGAAATAACAAAACAGTAAGTAGTTTAATTCTAAATTAACATCAATGTTTCAAAATATAAATATTCAATTACTAACAATTATGTGATTGACGAAGTCAATTGAAATGTATCAACTCTGAATGTGATATTTTTATCGTTTGACATAAAATAGATTGTACAAAAAAACACATACTTATGTTCTCTTCCATAGAATTTTCATTATGAATATTTTGTAGTATCATCAGAATATCCCTGGCACTCTTCTCAATTTCTCTCACAATAAGACGAATTTCCTTCCATGGAACAATTATTAATTTAATTATAATAAGTCCATATTAACAAAATAAACATTTTTAATGAATTAATTTAATTCTCGCACAGATTTTCACTTTCATTAACAAAGTTAAAATAATTTCATACATTGATAAACGGTTTAAAATAAAATAAAGAGATAATTTATGAAAATTATTACAAAAATGTATTGTTTTCTTTCTCTTAATGTAGTAAATAATTTAATATTTATCACAAACAAAAACATTTATAAACGAAGATAACAAATTGTACTTAGCGCGTAACCTCAAAAATTTGGATAAAGATATAATTAATACAAACCTCGCGTATTTCTTGTTCATTATTTAAATAATCTTGAAATGCATTAAAAATTTGTGATACTTCTTTGGCCATTTCGTTGCCAATACGTTATAAATAAACAAATTATTATATGAAATATCAGCAACAGAATAAAATCTCTACGTACAAATCTGTTTTGTTGTGCTTCGTATTGATTGTTAATAACAAATTATTCCCACAGATGGCGCGACGATACATTTATCAAGTTCTTACTTCCTCGTCAAATTCGATCTTTTATTATATTTTTTTCATATTTTTATCATATATTTATAAAAAGAGAACAACGCGTAAAGAATTTGTTAATAAAATTTTATATATTAAACATTAGTTAGAAACATACACAGAAAGATATCGTGAATTTCAAATATGATGGAAAAATGCGCATAAAAAATGGCAGCATTTTTTTTATTTATAAAAAATAACTGTAAATACTTTAGTATATAAATCAAATTATTAATTTGCAAAGAAAAAAGTAAATTATTTGTTACCTTTATTATATATTTAAATAAAAATTAGTCTTGAGTTTTCGTATTGTATACTTCTATTTGATATTGATAAAATAATCGTAAGAGAAACAAAAAATAATAACGCAAAAATGTTATTATTTTTATGATCCTAGATAAAAAAAAAAACATAATGTTGATTTTTCATAAGAGATAGAAAAAGCGCGAACGTTGCTACTTGTGCGTTTGGATGCATCTAAAATCTTGCAAACGTTGCTGACCTTCCTACTCTCAACTTTGCGAAATACGCACGCGTTATGTGTGTGTGTGTGTGTGTGCTGTAAAAGCAGCGAGAAAGAGAGAAATAAATAGAGAATAAGAAAAAGAGAGCGTAAAAGGGGGGAGTAAAGAGAGGAGTAAAGAGAGGAAGGAAGAAGAAGAAGAAGAAGAAGAAGAAGAAGAAGAAGGAAAGAAGATTTGTAAGCACGAACGCCGTTGCAAGGTCTTGCACGGTATATAAATAGAAACCAGTAGGTCCTGCTGCGAACTCGAGGAAGGTGGTTGGAATTCTACATGATGCCTCCTCTACGTAGGTCGTAGAGAATACCACGAGGATATCTGCGGGCGTGTCATTGATCCCAATACGCGTTCAAGCATCCATGAAACTTGCTTTATGAAAAAAATTCACGCCCACGTTCGCCACGTTTGCAAGAGACGCGTCGATTGCTCCGGGCAAGTGGTCTCAAGTACGCATTGCAAATGAAAAACCGGAAGTAAATAACCATTATGCATTTATTTCGCGTTGTTTCATTTATATACGGAAAATTCAATCGTTAAGTTATTATTTTATCCGTTCTAATGTAAAATTATTATAAGTAGTTCTGTTATAAATGTTTACTTTTTCATTGAAAATAATTAGATTGCTTTCATTTTTATTTGAATAATGTTATCATCCTTTACATCTTTAACTTTTTGGTTACAAGATCTTTCTATATATATATATAGAGAGAGAGAGAGAGAGAGAGAATTCGTTAAACATCTTGGGGTAGAAGTAATGTTAATAAAATTCTGATACCGTCAGATTAATCGTAAACTTTTGGTAACTTGCAATGGCGCAAACGACAGCGGATACTCGAAAGTATTTTTAGCCAGGGCGATCTTATCTTGGTAAGAAAATTACGAAGGCCTCAGGGCAGGACACACCAAGAGTGTATTCTAAAGAAGACCTCGTTTGCTTGAAACACGTTCAACGGTACGATGGTACTCTTCGCGCGTCTGCATTTATAAATGGCCACTTGTTCGACCTATCGATTGGACCATTTTTCTCTTTGCATTTCGAATGTATATAAATTGTCTAAAGATAAAGAGACAGACGGAGAAGAAAATCTTGTTTACAATCATTTGCTATTATAACAAGACTTTTCAAGCTATAATTACTAAACTATTAGCGATTCAATATTTGTCATTAAATCGGTATGCAAGCTTTTTAAAAGAGTTTGAGTAAATATCATAACGTTGAACGCGCACGCAAGCGTGTGAACGTAGGAATAGAATTTGAGATATTTCTAAAGAGATTTTTGAGACCTTTTCAATATGCTAAAACGTAACAATGACAATTTTTGTAAATAAATTACCAAGTAAAATTAGAAGATATTCTATTATTAAGAAAAATAATAAAATAATCGTTTTTTGGACGATTCGCGTTTCCAAGTGGTATAGCTCGTATTTCGTGTGAACAGTTGGCGAATAAACGTGTCCTTTAGTCGGAGGAGGTCAAAGAGAGCCGCTTTCTTTTTTTCTCAATAAAAATGAATTAACTCGTTTCGTTGAAAATATAGTGAACATTTTTGCAACCGTAGTTAAGTCTAATTTGAAATCTTTGTAAAAGACGAACGAGTTACATTACAGTACAGAGTTAGAGACGTATCGATGACAACGTTTTAGATTTATGGTCGAAATAAATGCATCATCGTTTTCATGGGAAAGAAAAATTCATTTGCTTTCGTAGAAGATAAATAAAGGTATAAAATAAAGGAAGCACAAAATGGGCCTTTGGAAATTAACGAGCAAGCGTGCATGCTATAAGTAACCATATTCATTAACGTGCAACATGTAATCATTAATTCCTCATACGACAATGACTTACGAACATACAAGAATATGTACCACGAAATGTCGGTGGATGTTACTGAATTATATGCCTGTATAACCATAATTAAATGAACGATGATCGTTCGTACATTACTCTTGAAAATGATGCGATCTTACATAGCGATTTCATATTCTCGACTACGCTCGACTCGGTTGGTGTCCGTCAAAAGTCATCATTTTCTCTCAGGAATCTTTCCAACTCGAACTTATATATTTCACAATTTTATAAATAATTGAGAGGACAAAAAAATACAAATAAAACGGACTTATCGATACTCGTACACGGAAAGATATTAAAGAATACGGTTTCTTTGAACGTGCTGTGACGAAGAACGAAACAAGCTGGTTCGAAGAGCAACAGGTTTGACTCGCTGGACTAGTTAATAAATTATCGTAGGTTGCCGCCATCTCCATTTCCATGAAAGAGTCGCGAACGAGAATTCGGAATACTACTCGACACAATCGCAAGTATCTCCAGACGTTGGATGGATAAGCTGAAAAGGAACCTTCTTATTAAGAGTCGGCATATGCATAAAAAATTACTTAAAACAAAGATTAGGATATTTACGCTGTTAGAAATAATTATAGTAATTAGTAGCTAACAAAAGGAGAAAAAAATGATGAGATTTTATAGGAAAGATGATCGGTAAATGATATCTCGATTTTTATCGTAACATCTACTTATCTATCCTATTATCACGAAATATTACTGTAATAAAAGATTGAAGATCACCCGGTAGAAAATCTTTAAGGAATATACATATTTATACATGAAGCCCTATAGAAATAAGTTCATGTTATTATTGACAACATCATGACATTGTGCAAAGTAAGTTACAAATCTATTACTTGGTATTACTCTTTATACATTTTAATACTAACTCTACATTTTATATGAAATATTGAAGACGATCAAAGTTATTGATCCGCCCTGTATACACCGTATAATATATACGATGCGTTTTTTCAGGGAAAAGGAAAAAGGTGACAAATGGAATTCAAGCCGGCGCCCAAAATGCATGCCGACAAGACATCCTGAACCGCGAGGTGCGTTCTCCTTCTTTTCTTCTCTTCTTCGTCATGAAACTCTCGGCACGTCCTTGAAGGAGGATAGACGAGCACGTTTCCTCTTTTTACTCCCGTACAAATTTACAGATAGGACCTGTAACAGAGATAGATAAATAGATACCTAGTGTCGGCCTACTTGTATATCCGTGAATGGCGCAAGCACGTGCATTAACTACATATAAAAGTGAGTTGAGCAAGGTAAGCGGCCCAGCCGACAACGACTACGTTCCGTAGTACCTCATACGACCTTCATAAAAACTCGTCGATCGAAGATCGCCGAGAATGCCGAGTGATAACTCACCGTCATCTATGGGGTGGCAAAGAAAAAAGCGGATGTCTATTCTCGGCGAACAAGACGCCACTACCTACTATATCGGCAATAACTGAAAACGAAGAAAGCACTGAATTACAATAACAACAAATAAATTACATTGAACAACGGGAAAAGAAGAAGGAGAGTAAATAACAAAGGGACAACGAGAGTTTTGTATGCATAGGTAAAATCAAATCAACAGAATGTGATCAACAGAATGTGACGATTGGTAGTAATAATAATAAAATAATGAATGTCGTATATGTATTTGTAAAAACGTTGACTCGATTGCAAATGATCGTATCGATACGAGATGGTCCCATCCAACCGTTCGAGGTGAAACTAGATTTGGCGAAAAGGTTGCAAGCTAAGGTGGTGGCCTTCCTCTTTGTGACGAATCGCGGGTGGTGATGGTTAATTCGCGTAAGAGAGAGAGAGAGAGAGAGAGAGAGAGAGAGAGAGAGAGAGAGAGAGAGAGAGAGAGAGAAGCACAGAACGAATTGTAGGTTGAGCTTCTCCTCCTTTCTTTCTATCTTCCTCCCCCACCAAACGTTCCCATGGAAGACGTTGGCCAGTCTCACGTGGTTTAACGCGCGCATATAGTAGAGATACGTATATATCGTCTGAGTTGCGCTCGCGAACATACCTTGGCCTCCCGCGGTTCGTCGGTTAGTGGTTAGTGCGCGCACACGTTACGCGTATTTTCCGTGACAACACGCGCTAAGAGCGATATCGCGATTCGTCATTTTCTCTCTTTCACGTAACCGATATTTTATTTATTCTTACACGCAATACGTCTACCCTTTCCAAACGAGGACAAAGAAATTACAGAAAGAAGACAATAACAGAGAGAAACTATTATTGTGAGAAATAAATTACGTCCGCGGGTACAATCAAATTCATATTCTTTCAAATACGTAATACGTATATTAATTTATCATTCGAGAAAATATTCCAAGCTTATCTTTCTTTTTTGTCGAATATGTAAATCATTGACGTATTCTTTAATATCGATCGTCTCGATTCATTTCCAAGATGGGATTAACAACGGTCTGCTGATTTAAATCCTTTTTCTTACATCGCACGATTCTCGCTGTGTTTCCAAATAGATATTACCTATCAACAAAACAAATTACTTTATGAGATCCTGCTACGCAAGTGTTCTTTAATGGGAGAAAATAAATCAGTTTTTTCATCATTTTCTTATTCTTTCATTAACATTTTGTTTCATTATACTTTTGATTACGAAATAATGTTAATACGTTTAAACGTTAATTAACCGTTTGGACCTTAGAAGTTTTTGAGAAAACCATATTGTCCATATCGTTCAAATATATTGGGATTTTTCAATATAAAAACTAAACAGCGCAATTGCGCTACGTGGGATCCAAACGGTTAAGAGAAAAACAGTAATAGTTTCTAGAATGTTAGAAAAACGTTATTAGTGATTTTTTATTATACACATATTTTATATATTTATGTACTTCTAATGCTTTCGTCGTATGACATGTATATGATACGCAACCTCGGATTATCTTCTATGCGGCCGTTGATGTCTTCTTTGAAAAGAGACATCGCATAATCGTGCATTGAAATCTCTTGATCGAAATTCTTATTTTCTTTTGTCTACAAAAGTGTGCTTCATTGAATTGCTTAGTGGAAAAAGTTTGTTTATATTATTTCGAGAAATGACATTCTTCCAAGTTTTTTTCGGAAATATCATTTATCAACAATCGTCGTTAATGAGATAAAATATAAATCATTCAAATTCTCCGTCGATCAACTTTTTCGTGTCTGCTATCTGTTTTTTTTCTTTTCCTTTTTGTCTACTTCTTCGTTTTTGTGTCGAGACTTTCTAAAAAGGTATCCTGCAATAGGTGATGTAATAAAAAGAAAAGAATTCAAAAGCAGTGCGAGAAACGGATAATAATAGTTAAGATAGCTTACAATACGAGTGAAAGCAGGTAGAAGTTAAAGGAAGAAGAGAAAAAGTACTCCTAGGAAAGAGACCTCCATATTACAACTACCACACGGTATCTACCATGAGAGAGGCGGGCGCATACCTGGTGATTTGAATACCAAATCAACTTCTCTTGTGCAATTCCTTTAGCTTTTTTTATTCCTTGTCCGTACGACCTTTTAACATTTACCTGCGTGCTTTGCGTATTTTTAGGCATGACACAATTTCCTTGCGATTCGTGGCGACTAACCTACTGTAAAATACAATTTATAAATTGAATCAACAGGCATAATATCCATATCGATATTATCATTGCAAATATCTTTGCAATTTCATTATTCTACCAATTTGCATATTATCTTATTTTAAACGCTTCTTCAAGCTTCAGCAATGCAATTAATTAATCTCCTCGATAAACTTATTATAATTCCGATTCAATTGTTGTTGATCATTTCAATAAAGTAAGGTAAATCAAAGATTACGTATTGGAAAGACATTAAAATAAAAAAAGAGATTCCGTTCACGAATACAGTGCTACATAGTGCTTTTTTTTACGTTCTTCAGTTACTTACAAGATATTTAACGGATAAATATTAATTTATAACCAATATATATAAAGACATTTTGTGTAAAATATACTAATAGAGTGAAAAAAAAACACCGAGTAATTTGATTTAGCCTCTCCTAGGCTTTGTCTGTATGCAAAGGACAGAGACATAGCCTAGAATAGGTTAGGTCAGGGCTCGTTCGACACGGTCATTTTCTCTTCGTACGTCGAAGACACGCCCAAGGTCAAGGACAAGCTCGAGGTCAATGCAATTGTCGACAACTAATTCACAGAACGTTGAACAAGGTGTTATGGTATGTGCGCGCAAGCGTACGCAGAGTTTTTTTCTTTTTTATCTTTCACAAATATTTGCTATAATAAAATATCGATTTTATGATTTAATTTGATGTCTCAAACTGATTGATTAAATATCTATCATTATAATACTAAATTTGTTTAGCACTTATACAAATCAAAATGAATTCACTTAATAAATTTGAACTTACGGAAGTAATAAATCGTGTCAAGAATTCGATACAATCGCTGATGCGATTCTTGCAACTTTGATGTAAGTGGCGCTCTCTTCATTTTCACAACTAAATATTTCTGGTAGAAATTTATATTATCAACGATGGGATCAAAAGTTCTCTAACTTATCGGCTTAATATATTTCCACTCTGTAAATCATCGTATTTCTTTCTTATTTTAATTTAAACTTAATGCAATAAAAGCTATAGTTTTATAGTTAACAGATTGGAAAATAAAAAACAAGAATACAACGTTAATAAGTTGTAGCTGAATTTTATCGATGATAAAGACGATAAATATTACAAATAATTAACTATATAAAAGTATTTTATATGCATTATTCTCTTTTTTTTATAAAATAAATGTTTGAAGTTAATTAACGTCACACCATATGTAAAATCTCGTATGTACACGGTGGTGGTAAAAATTAACAATATTATAAACCAATTAGTTGCCATATTTATAAGAATATTTTTGTATAATGGCGTGAGCCATTTAAAATGTCATTGCTTTTTTAAAAGCGATCGATCTATTGTAATTAAAAATTCTTTTATTTCTAAACATTTATTTATATATATATATTTGCTATTCGATCGATTTTATAATATAGCCATATACCGGGTTAGGTATTTAAAACAAATAATCCGAATAAATTGATTGTGATTTTTTTTCTATTATCAATAGCAATCGAATTATTCAAATGGCCTATTTTTAATGTCTCACCTGGTATATAGAATCAATGCAGAAATAGTAATTGTGCGATTGTTTAGGAAAAAATAGCAAGATGATCGGATCAGTTTCGCTTCTTTTCGACTCCATTATGCTCACATTTGTTTCTCGTTATTCTTTCTTCAATAATTTACATCGATTTCTGCAAAAAGGGTTAATCTTATTGCTACGCTTTTTTTAATTTTAAATTGAGAAATTACTTGGTTGTAGAAATGTAAGCTGACTATTTATGTTCAAATAGCAATGTAAATTTGATGTTCTTTGCAAGAGTATAATTATTCGAAAATTCAATCACGACCCTTTTAATCGTTGCCAAAAGAAATACATGAGTATAATTTGAGAACTTGTTGTAAAAATGACCAAAAGATTACAACGTTCAAATTTATGCTTTTATAGAAGCAATGTGTACAAAACTTTATATCAACAACGCATGCTATAATTTTCATTAAAATCATAAATAAAATTAATCGATAAAAAAAATGCATTTTAAAAATATTAATAATTAATATTTATAATATTAATATTATATAATAATTTTGATATTTATCATACAATTAAAATGAATAATTTAATTAAAATATACTGATTGCATGATCCGCCGAATATATTTATATCTTCTATTACAATGCCACTTGAATTTATTTAAAAATTTGATTGCGTTATTATTTACAAAAGTTTTCTTTATCGATAATCTATTTAATTCGTTGCAATAGAACAACTGTCACGAATTCTATCATTTAATTAACATATTGCAATTAAATATGATAAAGTTTATATGTGATAAATGAATATCTTAAAATATTCGTCTAAATATTCAACAGATAATGCAAGCAGGATCAAATTTAGAAAAACAGTATTTTTGGTCTAATTACGCTAGTAATATTACCTATGTATGTACGCGCGAAGTCTTAATTTATATTTATTAACTATTATAAACTTTAAAGTACAGTCTCTTCGCAACTCACAGTGATTATCAACTGATCCTGATTTTTCAGTCTATTTTAAATAGGTATATGACAATTATCGACGTAAATGCATTTATATGAGTTATTATGATTAGACTAACAGAGTATGAATATTTTCAATGTTAACCTATTATTGCACGTGGCAATGTATAAATAATACATTATTAAATTATTTACTATGATTCGTGTGTGTGTATAATTAATGATTCTTCTTCTTACTTGATTGCTGTTTTAACAATAACAATTTATGTAACTTTTTTAACAGATTAAAACACTTAATAATTATTTATTGTTACAACATATTGACCGGTTGATAATCTAACTGCGTAAAAAAGAATATATATGTTATTGGAATAGAGTGGGAAATCAAACAATGTTAGCAATACCCCCCACCCCCCGGTATTGTCCGAATTTTGACGGACTTTTCCTAAGCATTGAACATAATAGGAAAATTCTTCTGTTTCCTACATTGTCAAAAAACGTTTTGCATTGAGGACAATGCCGGGAGGGAGGGGGGGTATTGCTAACATTGATTTCCCACTATTCCGGTAACATATATATATATATATATATATATTCCTTACTAAAGAAAATATCTAAAGTGTAAATTTAGAAAATATTATACCAGTTAAATTTTGTTGTTGATTATTTTTATAAATTTAAAGATTGGTGTCATGTAATTACTGGTACATACTTCTATACATTATGATTTGCAGACTAATCGAAAATTTACTCATCTATAGTGCTAGCATGTAAGTATGTGATATGTCAATCAAAGTATATTATTCTATAGGCAATGATAAACTTTAATGGTATAGCATCGATATAATTATGTGAAACTGCACGTGCCAATTAAAAGGGATTCTATATTTTATTTGTATTTCCTATTCTTGTGCTAATATTAACCGTTTCAATTATACTCATCATGCACACAACACAAGCTTCACAACCAGGTTCAGAATAGTAATATTTGTAAATGGAAATGAATTTCTTGATCGAAATAATAATGTAATATTCAAAACGATATTATTCCAACGCTAAAATGGAATGTTTCAATATTTATCCTACTGAAATATTCATTTCCATATCGTGATAATATTATTTGCAAAACCTGGTCTGGTAATAATCTCGCATAAATTACAAGACAATAATCTGATATGAAAAAATTCACTAACCATGATGGGACGTAAATGTCTAGTTTTCTTTTGTCTCAATAAACTTCTCCTAGTACTCGATGGAAATATTTGAAATTCTCACACCTAACAGAATATTTTTATTTTGTTCTCGACAGGCTGAAAAATTCTTATAACCTAGAAATAACGTGTACTTTTTTTCCAAGGAACGTCATATTCTTATGTTTATCTTTGTTATACTTCATGCCGATACGAAGATTGCAAAATACAAATAACTAGAAAAGTAATTATCGTAACTCTATTATAGAGCACTCGTTGATATTATTTATAATTGAGATATATTTCGAACAAAACATTCGACTATGTATGCTACGCATTGGACAATTAGATACTTCATTATTTAATACATCATTGCTTTCAATAAAGATTGAAAATTGACTAGAGGCAATAATCTCTTGGATTTATACTAATAATGCTCATGACTGAAATCTTTAGCTAGAAATGTAAGATTTATGCGGCAGCTTTTTTATTATATCGATAATGTGCCTCTTGATTACTTTTAACTAACCTTTTGCTTATACAGCTACTGTGAACTAGTAATCGGTATGAAGCGGAAGTACTGGATATACATTTTATATTCTTCATGGAGAACTTTGCTGTATGTAGATTTCTCGTCGATAATAACTTTTCATCATACAACTCTTTTGGCATACTAGAAATAACACAGTTTTCCAAACAAAAATATTATTATATATACCCATTTTTTATATGAAAAATATGAACAAAATTTCATGCGAATGTCAAAGTCTGCATTTTCATCTATTCGGCGCCAATAAAGCACTGCAGAGTTTCCAATATTGTACATTTTTCTTTTGTTTGACTAGTGAAATTCAACATTACTCGTGTATCTTCTTTGCATTTAGATAGATGTTGTAATACATGTCGTAATATTCAGTATTTAGTGATTCATTATTTCTCCCTTCTTTTCTTCTTGCCCGGCTAAGTGTTAGTTTTTAATGTTCAATTAACTTTATCCATTAGAATTGACACTTTTCGCAAGGAATGCCTTAATAGAACACTTCTGTCAATACATGCCTGTAAATAGCATAATTTTATTTATCATCAAGATATTGAAACTTTGCCTTAAAGTTTTCTTAAGGACTGTTATTAACTTCCAACTTTTTATGCTATTTGCATTATGTCACTTAGATTAGTAACTTTTTTTAAACTTCTTATTTTTTTGAAACTTTTCAATATAGAAAGTTTGATTGATCTCTTGAATGCACATACATACAAGTACACACACTTTACTCCATGGAAAATCTCTCTTTGTTACCATTCAAAAATTTGCCATTAATTTTCTGTGCGCATTGGTACTTTAAACATTTGCATATATAACATTCACACACTTTGTTATAGCTTTAAGATATGTCACTTTGTACGAAGTCTGGATTACAAAGAAAGAAATATCTTTTTCTTGCCATATATAATTGACTTTGTAAAAATCGTGGTCTTTTACAAAGTGCTTTTCAGTGTTCCACATTATGTTCACATGATTTTATCTGTCTTTTCATTTCATTATATCTTTTAATTTCAATAAAATAAATATTATATCGTCAAGGTATCGTCGTGTCCAAAATTGTTTTTACTTTATAATGCTGATACTAATAATCACAAGTATCAATGCATCCCACTTATTACCTTCCTGTTTATATATATTCTATTTCTATATTTACCATTCTATTTTTCATTTTGTATTTAACTGTCTATGGTATTTATAAAAATACCGAATGAGTATGAGGCAACTCCAAAGTTGTAATACTAGCTATGAGCAATGTCAAAGCAGTGAGTAATGCTGGAGCAACCAAAGGTGCACCAATTAACGTTTGAAAAGTTATAGTCCCTATCAGACCTGATATTCTTATAACAGCTGCGATAAAGCCAAAGCCGGTGCATCTGTATAAATAATATAATTAATTAATTTTCATAATATATATTTAATTATATGTCAGAATATTTTATGAAATTAAAAGAAAAGGATTACCTTAAATGTGTAGGAAAACTTTCAACTGTAACCAAAGTAAGTGATGTCCAGGCAACCGCAAAAACTGCGATAAATCCTCCTTCAAATCCTAAAACTGCAGAACTATTTGTACCAACTAGTATTAGGCAAAGTGCCGTAACGGAAGAGAAAAATAAAGAGATCCCTGTGTACAGATGTGAAAAATCAAATGATTAATATTCTTCAACTATACTAAATTGTTTAAAATAAGTTAAAAAAGGTAAAAGATGAAACAAACCTATCATTTTTGGCCGTTGTAAAACTGTAAGTGCAAGTCCTGCTAATGTGGCTGCAGGTATAAAAGCTAGTTGAGCAACCAGATGACCATGTAATGCTTCTTCGATATAAATATTATAATCAAGATCAAGAGTTGGACATGGACCACTAAGACTCAACTTTGTGTTATTTTCCATTTTACATTTTGTAAAAGCTTGGGCTGACAGATCTGTATCTACAAATCTTCGAAAAACACAAAAAGATATATTAAAATATTAACACTTTATGATGTACCATCTAATGTTTTGATAATAAACATACTTGGAGTGCACGATAATGCTGTTGGTAAAATGTGTTTTGCTAGATTTGATGCTGCTAAATTCTACAAACTGGAAAGTACAATTGTCAAAGTCCACATGACTGAGTACCATTTTTGTAAACCTACAATATAAAGAAATTTTGATATATAACATAAGACATTTAAATATTTAATTCGTCAAAGATTTAAAAACGCCAGCTTACTTGCAGTACGAAAAAGTTGAATCTTTATATTGACAATTTTCCATAGAACCACTAAATATACGATTATTAAAATCCTTTCCAGAAATTTGTGCAGTTTGAGCTTCATATTCCGTGGATCTTAAAAGTTTAAGATATTCTGGACACCATACCATAAGACCATATAGACTTAAACAAAAATGATATCGATTAAAAATATTCATAACAAAGATAGATATTAAGACTATAATCAGCGGGAGAAATCTTACCCAAATGATGCGGTTGACCAAATAATTAAAAGTACTATAGTCACACGTAAATGTGGCGTTGCAAATAATTCCAGGAAAGAACTCCAAAACTAAGATTATAACAAAATATCATATTTTATATTAAAGATATTAAGATCTTTGTATATAAGAAAAATTATGCAAGTAATTATGCTAATTTATTTACCATTTCAATGGAATACATTATATCTGCCAAAACGCTAGTATGAGTACTAGGCGACGGAGGTGCCAAACCACGTGGTCGTTTAGTTGGAAGTTCTAGTTCGGAGAGTTGATACTGCGCACCCGCAGCCCCTTTTCTTGCATTATTTTTTTTGTATATTCTCTACATCAAAAATCAAAGATTTTCAGAATAAGAATAGATAAAAATAAAAAAAAATACAATATAATAATTTAATGACTACCTGATAAACCATCATTGCTTCGACGTCTCTTCCTGCCTCAACAAGATATCTTGGACTTTCTGGCAGAAAGATAAGTCCAACAGTAGAACATAATGCAGGTAAACAACACAATAACAGGAAACGATGCCAGGCACTGAAGTGTTCTTTATTTTCCAGAACAACCATCTCACCGGTCGTTGGTACAATTGTCCATGCAAGAAGAGCAGCATACACGCCGCCTAATGCTCCTGCTGCTACGAGTATGCCTGTCCATTTGCCTCTACTCAATCTTGGACAGCACTCTGCGAGATATGCAAATGCTAAGGGAATAGATCCTCCGACTCTATAATGAGATAACAAAATATATTGATAATATATTACAGAAATTAAATGAAAATATTATTCAAAGAAATATATATTCGTGCTCACCCAATGGCGGAACAGAATCTTGCTGTCATAAAAGTACCATATGTTGGCATAAATGTAGCAACTCCGCTAAATAAAGCATGTACAGACATAGCCGATAACAATGACCTATGCCTTCCAATTCTGTCCCCGAGACCTCCCCAAAACAATCCTCCCAATGCGAGACCCATGAGAGTAATATTACCTATGATATATACATATATTAATGAAATTAGGATTATCACAATGAATCAATATGAAACCTAAACTTCACTAACCGAGCCATCCTTTTTCGTTATCTTCAATACATAATTCAACTTCAGCACTTGGTAATATATATGGGACAACAAAAAATTCAACAGTATCAGCAGCAAGACTTAGACCTGTACATAATGTTGCTAATAATTGGAAGTAACCAACGCCAGCCTAAAATAAAATGGAAATGTTATAGAAAAAAGGGAGGAAAGAAAATTTATGCAAATTTTCACCTTCAAAATGAATTGGAAAGCATTCACTTATAAAAGGCACTATGTAAACATTTGTGAAACCAATTATACAATGATGGAATGAATAAAAACAATTTGAAGAAATTTTTCTTCATATTTGTTATATGCAATTATTGTATCGAGATAATAATTATACGATATCTTTGTAATTCACGTAAAGATATTTACTGGGATATCCTGTAAATAACCATCGAGCCTTCGCGACGTATATTTCGTCTTAACGATTGATTCATCTAAAACTTTATCCATATCGTTGTCACAAATTTCACGTCAAACCGAATGAAAAATTCTATATTATTTCTATAGATAAAAAAAAATGTGTGATCAGTTAGACAGAAACGATGTCGTTCGTTCGCAAACGTCAGTTTAGTTAATCCATTAGTTCGATTCGATAGTGTTTATCTCAGTTCATTCACCCGTAAAAAAAGAAACATACAGCGCGCCGCTGTACCGTTCGTATTAGTTCGTTTTTCTTCGTACTCATTCGTAGTACAAAGAACTACGAACGAATAGCCAATGAAAAAAATGGAATGGAGCTTACTGATTTATTATTGGCTGATAGCCAATCGATGCCGCCCAATTTATTATTTTTGGAATGAGACGAATAATAAAAATGGAGTATTTACAAATAGATATCGATTTTGTACCTGCTTAATCGCATCCTCGTGAAATTGTGCGAGGAGCGTAGCATCGGCTGTGGAATCGATCAAATCATGCTCGGCGGAATCGGCCGAGGGGGCGTTCGCATTGGCATTGGCCGAATTAGCTGTTTGTGTCGTCATTTCTTCGGTATAGAGGCCACCCCTAGCATTCAGGGAACGATCTCCAGTTCCGGTTGTCATCACGCCACCAGAGGAGGACATTACACCACCCCCGCTGCCAACGAGCCACTGGCTTTCCTCCTCCGATGGGGGCATTACTGCCACAACTCATCTAAAACACATATCATTCCAAAAATCCTTAATATTATATAATACAAAAAATAAAGATACAATATTTTTTATCCTTTTCTTTCGATCCTCTTTTTGATTGGATAACGATAAAAACCAATCAATGAGATAATACTGCCGAAAAAATGGAGACTAGAAATGGCGCCAGATATGAATTCATGAAGAAATACGATATAATCGATAGATAAACTAAACAAAAATTATTATAGTAATTTGATGTTACGTCATTCATAAACTTGCCTATATTAATACCATGCTTATGGATTTTTCGACTTAGAAACGTGTTACGTATTTAATACGGCAGTCAACCCTATTGTATGCTTCTCCACATCGATTAGCATTAGCTTACGTATGCAAATTTTCTCCCCTCACTCTCTCTCTCTCTCTCGCAGTGATATCCTTTGCACGTAAATGTCGCACGTATTTACGTTCTTCGCACACGCGAAAGCGTGACGCGTTTCTCTCGTAATGGCATATGTGTTATACATAACTACGTGCACGAAAGACACGTGTCAACCTTGCATCAATGCCGAATAGGCCAGCAGCAAGCAAACGAGAGGATAGGGGAGGGAAATGATGTCTGACTTTACAGCCTATATGTACTTATTATTTGTTCAATAATATGGAAATTTCATCACGTAGTAATGTTTTTTATTATTCAATGTTCGATTGACTAATAATGATTCTATATATAAACAAAAAGATTCAGATAAAACCTATAATTATTATTCTCCCTATTGTATTACCAGTAATAAATTAAATAAAATTTATTTTTACCTAGATTTACGGAATGGAGCTTATAACAAATTTCACTTCCTTACAGTAGACTTTTATCGTCATTTTTAAATCGCTCTAGACATTTGATACATGTTATATCCCTTTTGGGTCGAAAGAGTAACTCTTTCTCCCTCTATCTCTTTGTCATTCCGATCAGTAGGAAAATTTGTGTGAACAAAAACAGAGAAGACCAAATTGACGTCTAACTTTGGCGCACCCGTTATCGATATTTTTATCGGATTTATGTTATGTATGTGTACATTTAGATTCTCTCTTCCGAGACGAATAAAGGTTACATGGGCGATATAATTGAATTGACCTATGGCATAAAACGAAGAGAGAAAAGAATTTAACTAAATAGCGCATGCTCCAGATACTAATTATATACATTGCTGTGTATTCTAATTGCGAGATAGTCGATAATATTTCATTTTTCTTTCATTTCAAAAACAATAGTAAGTTCGAAAGATCTTAAAGAAAGAACACAACGGTAATTTATGATAATAAACTAATAAACAATAAGTCCAAAACATAAAAGAAATATATTTCATATTAAAATTATTTATATTATAAAATAAATTTGTATGTAAGATTTGTTAACTTAGTCTACTGTCATAATTACCGGCACATATATTTCTATATATATTATAGATCAACGACTTTTACTTATGATGAAGAATATCAGTATGGGGTTCTTCTCAGAGGAAGAAGTTATTTTTGAATGTTGCAGGAATCTTACCCTTCTCTTCTTTTAAGCTAGTAATGATCCTACAAACGCGCAGCTTTCCCGTTCCTTGGTGAATGCCTTTTCAGTAACGAAAAAACTCCTCAAGTTCGCATAGAAGGAAGTGCAAAATTATTAGACATACTGATAATGAATATAGATAGAAATAGATTCAAGTCAAGAGAAAAAAGGATTCGTTTATGTATACACAGGATGTTTTCAAATATGGGAATATAACTTCAAGGATACTAAAATAAGAAAAAAGTTCATATAACAATATGCTCGTTACATCTTTGTTTGAATTTTGTTTTAGAAATAAAGAGATAATTGAAATAATGTAAAAAGAGTGTAGATACAGTAGTTGAATTTTAAGATTAATAAAATCAAACTATGAGAGAGAGAGAACGCGTAGAGATCAAGTAGAGATGACAAAAATAGGTGCAACGTATAAACTACGACGCTATTTAATCTTCTATATACGGAAGTCGAATTCTAGTTTGTTACTCATACATCTAAATTTCCATCTTCGGAAAAGTTTCGAACATAAAGACTATCTTGACAAACTTAGCTCGCTACTGGCAATACTTTATACGATCGATAAAGAGCAAAATATATATACACACGTATAAATAGGCATGCATACATACACAAGTTTATCGAGTAAAAGATACGAGTAAAAAATTTATAAATAATAAAGAAAACGATTCATTTATTGTAGAGAGAAAGAGAAATTTTGTAAAGATTTAACAGTTAGAAAAAGAAATAAAAAATACTTGTCAAATTATACACACATAAAAGTAACATCATTTGTTAATTGTAATTCAAATCGCGGTATGGTTGTGCTTAAGTACGAACACTGTTCAAAGTTTTTCTTTTCTACCCCCGAAATATTTTATGAAGGATATATTTTCGAAACATTTATTATTATACAAGTATATCTTGTTCTATCTTTTCTATCTTAGTATTGTTTATTAAGTCAAAATAGCCAAATACAACGAGAATAATGAATTCAACGTCAACTTTAACTTTTTCTGTAACTTCGACTTTACCTTTCTCCTTCTTTTTTTTTTAATGAAACTTCTTCAACATCGCTCTTTCCTTTGAACTTTTAATTTTTTCTATAGTTTTACGCACACTCTCAACTTTATACTCAGACACATGCGTACACACATGTTTGCATAGAAAGTATCGTTCGTGACAAATGGAAAAATGCATTTCACAATCGATACATTTAAATTTCCCTCCGTCTCGATATAATCTGATAAGAATCGTTTATCACGCAGAATTGTACCATAGACATCGTATAAATAAAATTATTTTGACGCATATCGATCATTAACGATAATAAGTGGCATCGGAGACGAAGATCTTTCGAGATATCGTTCTACGCGCAAATATTTAAAGAGTCGCAAGCGATAAAAATATCGTTGGCCAAAGATATCTTTTATCTTGCTCAATGTTAAATAAAAAATGAACGAAACAAAAGAATTTTGGGAGGGGGAAAGAAAAACGATGATTTACAAGAAATTATTCGAATAATTTGGATCGATCGAAGAAAACAAATGTTTTAATTATAATTAAAATCAAATACAAGTGTAAAATAATAAAATAGTTTCGAGAAGAGGAAAGCTCGCGTGACATTGAAAAACGCGACGATGTTTTAAGCGTAATAATCCGATAACCTCCTTGTTTTAAAGCAAGCTCCCCCTCATTTGCTGGCAACGCTATCAAATATGCCGGCCTACGTTTCTCGTTAACGATACTCGTCGTACTTACAGATGATGCATTCATCTCTTCTTCCTACGTTAGTTGGATGTGTGTATGCGCGTGTGTGCATCTACCACACTACACACGTATGTATGTGTATATACGGTCATATAAATTTCTGTTTATTATAACGATCGTTCTACTTCAAATATTGTACGAATCTCTTGCACACGAGACGCAGATGCGCACGCGTCTAACACTAACTCATTTTTTGTCCTAAACAAAAACTCACGTTTTCACCTGTGCAACTACGACGACGCGATAAACTCTGACTCAATTGCCAGTTATCACTTGTATACGTACTTACATGATAAATATTTCTTTTTATCACGACACTTTAGATCAATTTTCATACCTTTATCTACCACTGTGCTACGACATATTGATTACTTCTATTCGTATTTTCTTTTTTCTTTATTATTAACGATTTCTTTGCTACTTTTTCTTTTTGTTAATCCCATTAAAAAAGAAAAAAGAAAGATGAAAAGATAAATATCATTAATATCTCATACATCATGCCTCGATACGATCGTTTATCTTTCTATATTAACGCACACTTGCGACTCTTGTTTAATAAACTTGACGTATAAATGAAAGAATAAATATTTCCAATTACGAGATTGATTTGAAATAAGACAATAGAATACTATTTGAAAATAAGACAATTTGATGATCCGAGTTATTCTTACCTGGTTAATAAAAAGTCGTCTGCGGAAACCGGCACCGAACACGTCACAATTTTCTTCTCTTTCTTTCTTGTTTTCTCTTGTTTCTTCTAGGAAGCACCTCTCTTCTGACAAAGTAGAAATTGTGTACGGCTCTAGCGTTGATCAATTCCACTGACTACTTCGTACAACAGTCGTCGATCCTTCTTTACAGCACTCCTTTTTATTGATCGACGATAAAACACAACCCAAACGAGAATTCGTAGCTTCCAATCGCCTAATGGACCGAACACGATAACTCACCCTTATTTATAACTACGATTTCACGTTTTAAATGTGTGTGTGTTTCGTCATTTACGCGATAATCAAACTTTCATTATATTTATTCGAATTTCCTATTTTTCACGTATTTTCTTACGACTAAAGAAAAAAAGGAAAGAAAATAATAAGAAAAGGAAAAGAAAAAGAAATACGACCTATAGTATTAGATAAACACGAGATACGAGAACATTATCGTAGTTTATGTTTTGTTTTTTTTTTAAAGAAACTACGTTACATCGTTACGCGAAAGAAACTTTTTTACGGATAATATTTTGAAGGTCGCTTCCCGTCCAATCATTGTCCTACCTCAAGGCATCCCTATTGTGCAAGGACGAAAGCTTCTTTTACTGATCGAGTTAAGGATTTTCTTGCATTTTTCTTCTCCCCCTTTTTTTTCCTTTATTATATTACAAAATTTCCTCTCTTCTCATTCGACAATTCTTCTTCTTTTTTTCTTCTTTACTTATATCCTTGTACTACTTAAACACTTGCCTTAACACTGTCCTTCTTCTTCTTCTTCTTCTTCTTCTTCTTTCAGTTATACACCGTCTCGTTAAGGAATAATTTTGATTAAAGGGTAGATAAAACGCCGACGATTTACGAATGATAAGCGACGTAGGAATATACTCAAGAGAAAAAGAGAGAAAGATAGTTAGCCCTTTTTTCTCTCTCTCTCCTCTTTGTTAACGACACGAGAAGAACCTTGAAAGTTTTTTTTATGCGGTAACCCGTTGGCGGGAGGATGCAAACACGCTAACTACGGCTTATTCTTCGTTTACCCGTGAAAAGCTCGCGACTCGCTGACATTTTCGCGCTAGGAAGGAAACAACACTCTGTGCGTATCGATTTGACGCTACGCCTACGAAACCGACGAGATCACCTTCCTACCCGTCCAAGGGGGAAGAGAGAGAGAGAGAGAGAACTCTGGCGCCCTCCTGTTATCCCCACCAGTATCTCTCGTTGCTTCCCCCACTCTGCGACTCGCTGTTCAATCTTTATGCAACGATTTAAAAAAAAAATTGAAACTAGTAATGTTCATTATTTCAACACCTTTTCTTTCTAATTAATAGCACTATTTTTTTATTTTAAATTCGTACTTCACAAATCCTTACTTTTTTCTCCTTTCAAAGTCGTTAAGAAATAATTCTGGACGTGTTTTCATCGCGTTGCTCGTTTTTAGTCGAGAGCCAAGTACCGGTATCTTGAATTCATAGTAGACGGATGAATCATCGTCTTTGGCTCTTCGCTGAAGGTTTAATTTCGACTTACCCGAAAGTCGATATCGCCCTTCTCCCAAAATACGATCCCTGTATTATGATAGAAAATTGTTTTCTAGTCTAATCACTAGTATTTACGAACAATTTAGTTGTGCATATTTTAATATGCATCGACGATAAATAAGAACTATTCCCCTGTCGAGTAATACATTTTTTACAAAATTTTATTTCGATAGAAGTTTCTTACCGTGGAATGCTAATCCATTGTTTAAAACTTTACGTCGAAAAAAAACATTCTTCTTGTATACATTCTCTTTAGGCTATTAAACTTTGTTTACGAGGATAGATGATAAAACTATGCATAAAAATCCTTATTAAAAGCATACATATATATATATATATATATATATATATATATATATATATTCCCATTAATCGTCAGACATACTATCTTCCTCTAGCAGTTTTTCCTTTTCTTCTAATTTAGTTCGTGCAATTAACTGTTTAGCTGGATTAAAAACACCATTTGTCTGTACATTGCAAATATAACATCTCGTAGTCTTCTTATAGTGTTCTAAAGCACACTTTTCACAGAAATAATGTTTACATCTGTAAAAGAAATAATCATTTAGTTATCTCTCGTCATTCAATTGAAATATATAATTATAAATTTTAGAATAAGTACTTTGTAATAACTGGATCGGTAAAACTGTTTCTACAAATAAAACATTTAAATGGCAGAGATTCTTCATCACTATCAATCTCATATTTCTTGTCATCTTCATCTCCGCTGTTGTTGTATTCTCCGGTAGCTGCTTCTCTTTCTAATTGCCATCCCAGTTTATAATCCGAACGATCGTGAAGAAATTTACAACTGTCTGCGAATAATAATATAGTTTTATAGATAACTATAAACGTAACTAATCATTTAAATTAATAGCAATTCTTGCCAACCTCCAAATCCACAAAACCCAGTCTCTTTATAATCCTTGCATATGTCGGGTTGATAGTCCCATCTAACCGTTGCTCTGAGATTAGCCGGAGCACGGATTGGTCCTTTGCGAACCATACCACTGGATGCATTTCCTGCCGCAGTATCTCTTTTTTTATAATACGTTGCATAATTATTAAGACCTCTATAAATTTTATCATCTTCTTTTCCTTCAAGCTCCTAAAAAAGATATTACACCGATCTATTAACAATATGTTAACAGTTACAATGGAGTACTAAAAAGAATTATATAAAAATGACCTCATTAATCTTCTGAGCTTTCTCGAACAAAGCTTGAGCATCCTTATCCTTTTCGGTTTCTGTTTCCAGAACAGCAGTTGCCCCCTGATCGCTTGGTCCTGCTGGCATAGGCGTCCTGTTGCTTTTATAAGAAACAGTTACACTATCATCCTCGCTACTATCATCATTGGTAGATTTCTGATGATACCGCTTTGTGTTTGTCTGTAAATTACTACGATTATACTAATTTCCTAATCCTTATTATAATATGAACTTAATAAAAAACTAATCTTTAAAAGTCTTTAAGGCATGACGTTAATACTTCCTGATATTATATTGAGATTAATAACTTAAATACATCCTTTTAATATTTACTTACACTTTGTCTCATCGGATTACGTTCATCGAACTTTTTCTCTTTTTTGACAATCGTAGTTTCATCTTCGCTACTTTCTATAAGATAAAATATTGAAATTAAAATAAGGAAAACGCACATAACCTATAAAATAGTTAATCGAATTTACGTAATAAAATTAAAAGATTCTTAAAACAATTTGAAAGTGACGTTTAATCTTTTAAATATTTTCTTACCATCTTCTTCGTCTCCTTTACGCTTTCTTGACACTTTACCTCGTACTTTTCTTTTTTTAAATAAAAAAGTACAATTCTTTTTGTCTACCTCTTGCTGCACGTCTTCCATATTTGTTTTGTAAACAACTGTGGTCGTGCGTCTTTCTAATCAGACGCTACTTATATATATATATTAATTAGTTGATATTTCACAGAGAACTCAGGGTATGTATTTCCGATATTCTATAAAATAATTATGATAGTATTACTCTTAATTAAAGGTATTTATTATCATTCATTAATTAAGTATCTTTCAATTCATTCCATATATGCGGTATTCTTATTAGGTTATATTATGTTTCTATATACATGCAGGTAGGAATGGTAACAGTAGTTTAAGAATAAAGCGGCATGAATAAACGGTAAAGATTCATGAGGAAAAGAAAGAACATGAGATAAAGAGCTGACAGTCATTGGGGAAAAAGAGTATGTGTATAAAAGTACGTTGTAAGATGAAGAAGATCGTTTTAGTTAAAAATTTGTATTTACAAGATGTATAAGATGAAGGATAACGTTTTAGTTCAAATGTCTTTATTTACAAGATGTGTAAGGTGAAGGATAACGTTTGATTTAAGATATGTTCGTTGACAAGAGTAAAAAGAGTAATAGAGAGTAATATAACGAGCGTATATCGGGTCGGTCAGAAAGCGAAGTTGAATTTAAATCGAATCACTTCGAGACAACGTAAGTTGTCTAATGATCGTGAAAAATTTTTGTAGCGTTTATTTCTATATTTTCTGTTTTATTAAATATTTTTACAGTAGAATTAACCTCGGGGGGCGGGGGTGTAGGTTCACTACACACCTTTACACCGAACCAAATCCTACATACATATATTATTTCATAATGGCAGTTATAAGAGTGTATAATTAAATATACCTTAATCTTTATTTAATATTATTGTAGATTCCCTTAAAATCATGAGTAATAAGAAGAACATGGCAATTGATTTCCAAGATAATATGATATTGTTAACAAGAAAATATTTGAAACGCAAAATAATGTGTCCTGAAACAAAATTTCGACATCACATGAAAGAACGTTTACATATATTGGATTTATTGAAACGAACTGTAGAAATGGGTGAAAGTAATTCTGCGCTACTGATCGGTCCAAGAGGCAGTGGAAAAACTACAGTATGTATTTTAATGTTTCCTCATATATTTATGCAAGCGATTGCCAATCCTATAGATTTCTTTTATAGATATCTATGCATTTTTTAGCTCATCAACAGCGTATTAGTAGAATTGTCCACTTTGAAGTTTTTTAAAGACAATGCTCTAATAGTAAATCTGCATGGTTTAGTACATACCGATGATCGTATAGCATTGAAAGATGCTACGCGTCAAATGCAATTAGAAAATGTAGTAAATGATAAAGTATTTGGCACATTTGCAGAAAATTTAAGTTTTCTATTAGAATCCTTAAAATCTGGTGACAAGAAACACACTAAGCCGGTTATTTTCATACTAGATGAGTTTGACTTGTTCTGCGAGCATCATAATCAGACTCTGTTGTATAATCTTTTTGATGTTGCTCAGTCTGTCCAAGTGAGTATAAATGAAATAATGTATGCATATGTTCTTGGTATAAAAATCTTTTCTTAAATATTTACAAATAATTGTGTTTTAGGCTCCTATCTGCGTATTAGGCATAACATGTAGATTGGATGTTATGGAACTTTTAGAGAAAAGAGTAAAATCAAGATTTTCGCATAGGCAAATATTTATTTTTCCTGGTGACACTTCCTCTGCTGAACAACCAACGTCTGCTTTTGATAATCGTTTAGAACTTTTTCAACATCTTCTTAGTTTACCTGATGATGAAAATGTAAATAAAATAGAGCAACAATATGATGACTGTACAATAGATCCACACTTTGGTTCGATGTGGAATGAATATATTAAAAGTTTAATTAGTAATGTTACAATGGTAAACTTGTTGAAAAGAATGTATCAGATTGATATTAGCGAGAGAAGTTTCAGAAATTTCTTAGCAGTCGCTGTTTCAACATTATCAGAAAAGCATCAAAAATTAGAAGTAAACGATTTTGTAGAAGCAAGTAAAATGTTTTCTCAAGATGATAAAATATTAATGCTTGAAGGTTTATCTGTATTAGAAATGTGTTTAGTAAGTAGCAATGTTACAAGTATTATAGATTAGATAAATTAGAATATATGATTTTAAAATACAATCATTACAGATCATAGCTATGAAACACGAAACAGAAGTATATGATGGTGAACCATTAACTTTTGAAAGTGTCTATAATCGATATGTTAAATTTACAAATCAAAATTCTTTCATTCATTCTGTTCAAAGACCAGTCATCATGAAAGCCTTTGAACATATTAAGGTAAGCTATTCTATTAAAGACAATTATTATAACGATTACATTGCAATATAAACTTGCATACATTTTTTAGAATTTAGAATTTATAATACCTATAAGTAATGCAAATACAAGAATCGATAAAGAATATCAAAGGTATAAATTTTCTTTGACATCTCAACAAGTAATGGATGCTGTGAAAAATTATCCAGGACTTCCTACAGAAGTCTCCCAATGGGCATTAAGCAGTCTATAATGAAAATATGACTTTGTACAAAATATTGCATACGCTAAGACTTTCAGATCTGTAATTTCATTGTATTTTAATGTACTTTACATATTGTTTCCTTTAGTAAATTTTCGCATCGTGTAAAAATAATTTCTTTAGAAAGGAGATTAAGATGGTATGTATGATATATTAATGTATCATTCGTATTAACAACATTATAACAATGTATATTCTTGTTTTATATTTCATAATGACTTTAAATAACCAATATGATACTTCAACTCGTTTCTTTTATAGAAATCAATTTTTTCATAATACATATCAAATATTATCATATCTAACAATTGTAAATATACTGTACGTTTATCTTTTTGTCTAACAATAAGAATTCTATTAAAGTCTTATGAAATATAGGCTCGTCAGTTTCCAATCAATTCCTGCCACAAAATTCAATATAAAAACGTCCATTATAAACGTCAGTAATAATTGAATTATATTTAAACTAACAAATTTGGAAACAGGAAAAATATTTTGATTGAAATATATATGAAATGTGACAAAAATAATCAAGTGAAATCACATATAGACTAAATATTATGTGAACTTTGTTCTTCCTATTTATTATTAATACGTGTAATTCATAATTATATTATAGGAAAGAGTGTGAACAAATTTGAATATTTATTAAAGAATGTGTGCTGGTTGTATACGTTACCTTGAAGCATGTATGAATAGACATTTAAAAAAATGTTTATACATTTTTAATAAATTTATATTCACACGAGAAAGATCTATTTTTAACTAGTTTTTAATTGATCCACGCCAAGTGTGATGGTATATTTCTTATAGGTGCCATAGAATTCGTCACTGCATGTATTGGAGAATTCAAAGATTTTTTTTTGATACCTAAACTGTTAATGCTTATCAAATTTCCTTTACGTTGTTTTTTTGTAATGTATGAATTATGACCTATTATAAATATAATAACATATAAGAGTATTCTACGTAATATATTAAATATGTTCACAATTAGTTATATTTGTACTTTTTATTTACCTGGATTTATTCCAACAGGATTCACTTTACTTAAAGTATCAACTAACTTAGAAGAATCAAAAGCAGACATTGCTCTACTCACTCCGATCTAAAAATGTATACATATAATATAAAACATTAATAGTTTCAAATATTAATTATTGACTTTGTAAAGATGCACCTGCATGTGTCGTATTCTATGTTCTACTAGATCTGCACCGAGTAATTCTTCATCTTCTTTCATTCTTATCGGTAAGATTTTATCAATTAACTGAAACATATATATAACTTATTTAAGTCAAAACTACATAAAAAAGAAATAGCTTTATATCTTACCCACAGCAATATTATGGAAGTAATAAAACTCCAACTGGACAAACATAATACAGATAAACTTTGCACACCTAACAAGTACCAACCTCCGCCTAAATAAGAGAGTGTCTATTCACTTATCTTTTTTTTCTTTTTTTATACATACTTATACATATTTCATAAAAAGTATCTCTACTGTACAAACCCTTGAATAAACCACTTCTGCCACTGGTAGTGCCTAGAGGATACGGATTATCGGCGAACAAGCCAATAGCTATAACACCCCATACACCACTTGCTCCTAATATAAATGTTCTTATAATAATATAAAATAGTATAATTTTCTATGGATGATTGATGGAATTATTGTTATTAACATAAATATACCATGTGTAGCGGATGCTCCAACAGGATCGTCAATGTGTATTCTATCTAAAATCGGCATCATAAAACAAGTAATAAATCCACCTATCATCCCTATTATTATTGCTTCCCAAGCGCAATATAAAAAACATCCACCTATTAAGAAGGTACAAAAGTTAAGATTTTCTTGTTTCAAGTTTAACACTCTTATATTGTCATCTTTAACCTGTAACAGCAACCAATGCTCCGAGAATTCCGTTTATTTGACTCAAGATATCAATCCCATTCGGATTAGTCAAACTAAATCCAAGGCCAACTAAACCACCACCCATACTAGCCATCATCGTAGAAACAGCTGCTCTTGCAGCATATTGCCAGCGTTGACCACTTACACCATATGTACTGCCACTGTTAAATGCTAACCATCCCCACCTATTATAATATATGTCATTTATATCGTATTATATAAAGTTAGTCGAAATTTACAAAGATAGATTAATGCTTGCTATTACCATAATACAAAGAGCCCCATTATAGCATTTACAGGACAGCCCAGAGGTAAAGGTTCTATTCCGAAATCATATCTACCTAATCTTGGTCCAAGCATGATAGCACATGCAAGAGCTGTATTTATATAATACTTAAACATTTATTAATAATCTCTCTTAAATTTGTTCAATTACATAATACACTTTACCTGAAACTCCACCCACAAGATGTACTGGCCCTGATCCAGCTATATCAACCACACCCAAGGATTTTAAAAATCCATGATCACCCCATACCCATCCTGCTGGTATACAATATACAATTGTATTTAAAAATGAGAAAAGGCAATAAGCTTTAAAATTACATCTGAAAATAAATATTACATAATTATGTTGGTATCATCATTTATATTAAATACCGAAAGTACCTTTCAGCCATTGCCCCACTAACAATAGTTGTAGATGTGGTAGCAAAGCTTAATTGAAATAAGAACGCAGCACATATTGGACCCATAAGTTCGCTACCTACGGGTGGATCAATTAAAAAACCTCCGCTTCCAGCAAAAGGATTAGTGGGTTTATTCAAGCCAAAGCTTATACCAAATCCAAATAGCCAATAAGTTAGTCCACCAAGAACTATGTCTACCACATTTTTCATCATTATATTAACTTCATTTTTTAAAGAAACGCATCCTGATTCTAACATACCAAAGCCTAAATGAATTTTTTTTGTTTTTTTGTAAAAATCACAGATATTTTTATTTTATATTAGCTGTTTACTATAACTTCAAAATATAATAATGATTTACCTGTTTGCATAGTGAAAATAATAAAAGAACTGGTAACTATCCAATTACTATCTTCTTGAGTAAGATTGTATATCGAACTTACATATTCATAAATGGTAGTAGTGTTAGTAATATTGCGTTCATAACTATCTATCTCCATGTTCTGCAAAGGATTCTTTCAATGCTGAAAGAAAGACTTCTTTTCACTTCCGAAGAAATAACTAAGTAGAACTCTTTCAGGAAAAACAAGTTAAAAATTCAAAAGGTTTGGACAAACAGGTTAAATATTAATAGGACGTCTCTAAGTATGGTTGCATGTTAAAGCTAGAATGGAAGCAGGAAATGAGATAGATGCATTGAAAGAGCATGGTCATGAAACTTATTGAGTTTTCAAATTGATCCTTTTTAATCTTTTTTTATTGGCCCACATCCAGCCGTTACATTAAATTTTCCACCTTACCATACAAGTAGCAATTTCTTTTCCTTCTTTATTAACTGAAATAACAACAAATTATGTCAATATAATAATACTAGCCTAAATACAAGAAAATGATGATATCATATAGACTGTGTAAATATACGATTTTTTCTTTTCATTTAAGAATATTTTTAAAATACATTATTAGACAATGTCTATGTAGTTAAATTTCGTTTATACATGATTATTAATTTGCACTAAAAACATCAGTAATTATAAAAACAAAATTAATATCACACAATACATATGTATATATATAGAATATTTCCTTTCCATGAATATGATTATTTAGTAATTTCTTTAATATCGTTCGACAAAATAAATGAGCAATCAAGTGTGATCAGCGCTGATATTATTGTGGTGTGATTATTGAATATTTCTTGTAATCAATGTGTGTCAATGATAAATATATAAATTAAAAAAAAGCGTAATTAAAGTAAAGTGTTTTTGTCTTCATACGAGAATCGCATAAAATTTGTAGAGAAAGCAAGACCAAAGAGTGCAGCGCTAACATCTTTTTAAACATCATCAGATTACTGAGGGCTTTTAATTTGATTACACTTTCAAAAGCGTCTATGAAGACTACATCGTAGATGATAGATTCTTTGCTGTTTCTTTTTTTTTCTTTTTAATTTTTTTTTTTTTAGTTCTCAGCATTAACCAAGATTCCAATTATTTTTAATGTCCATAGACATTTTCATCGCTGTAAGCTATGTACAGGAAGAAGTCCTCCTCGTGATGTTCCTAATAAAGAATTCAAAAACTTGTATTAAACTTATTTTTACCATATGTGTAGTTACTTGGATAAGAAATAAATTAAATCTATAAACAAAACGCTGCCTTAATATTATCCAAATTTGTAAAGATTATTTTATTACCGCATAAAGAGATCCCATGGTAGCACTTGTAGGAGGAATGATATTGTTAACAAAGAAGAACAAGGCATCTTCTGGACGAAGATGAATCCTCTTGCGGATTAAAAAGTAAAATTGTCCAACAGTCAGATCAGATGGTACAAGATATTTTTGTTTATCCAGATCACTAATTTTGGCTTTGGGTGCCTTTTCAACGATCACCTGTCATCACATTTATCGTGTCAATTCTTAGTCAACAAAATTCAAGGTTGTATCATTATCTTATTGTTTCTAACTCATTTCTATCATTGGCAAGTTGCCTGAATTCGAAATGATTCAACAATTGCATTTTAAGCATATCAAGAATATAATTAACAACTCTTTTATTAAATATTTTTCCAAGTATTTCCAATGAAAAAAATGAAAAAAGAAAAAGAAGAAATAATTAATTAAATCAAGAAGAAAAACAAATATTTTAATTTTAGCCTATCGCAAATGAACAATAAGTGTAACCGTAGGATCGATAAACTTGAATAATCGTAGGTCGTCTGGACGGTAAACGATACTTCATTTTACCGTCTCGATATCGATTCATGAGGAATTGAAAAAAGAAAGAAATTCTTTCTTGGTATAAAAAAAAAATGTTTATACACGGCGCAATAGAATGACCTTGACGAAAGAAAAGAAATCGTAGAGATATTAAATATCGGACGCAGTATTTAAGCGTTTAATTTTGAAAGAATAAAAATGGGGAAAGAGAAAGAAAGAGAGAGAGAGAGAGAAAGAGAGAGAGAGAGAGAGAGAGAGGGAGAGAGAAAGAGAGAGAAAAAAGAAGTAAAGAACAATGTAATGAAAGAAAAGAAGTGAAGAAATGTATCGCTTAGACTCGTTTATCTTATCAAAAATGTTTGACAAGTTCTTTTCTTTTCACTGCTTTCTCTGTGTCCTGCTGTCTGTTTGTTTGTCTCTCTGCCTTTCTCTTTCTCTTTCTCTCTCTCTCTCTCTCTCTCTCTCTTTCTATAGATTGGGAATGAAACGTAATATTTGGCCTCTTCTTAATACCTAAATAAATGTACTTACAGGGACCCTGTCCGGATACTTTCGTCTTATTTTTTCACCTTCTGCCTTTCTCTTCTCGAAAGGGTGGCCCTCCTTGTATTCAAACTTCATCGTTCTTCTTCTCGTGCGAACGGCACGAGACGTAAAACCTCTGACACAGCGACTTTCTTTCCCTTCCTCCTTCTTCTTTCGCTACAAATGCGCGTATGTTGTACTCTTCTTTCTCTCTAATACTTTTTGCACGTCGATGGATGAAATATCTGTTTTACTAAATTTCGAATAGGTTTAGAATAGGAGATCGCTAGAGAAAGAAAAAAATAAGGAAAGAGAACAGGAAGGAAATACGACAGCAACGACGAAACAGACAACTTTCAACAACGCTTCTGTCACAACAATTCTTGTACGCCACTTGGACTGCGCCTTAATGTCTGACTTTTGATTACCTTAATAATACTCGACGATTTAATAGGAAAATTCTACGATCTCACGATGAATCACCGTACGATCGCCTTTTCGAACGATTTGTATCTAATTGGCAGAGTCACGTTTTACGTATTACCGAATACGAATCAACGATATAAAGATCGCCTGTAAATGAACAAGCGGATAAACTAGGCTCAGACACTCATACCAACTTCACTTCTAACGAAACTATTTTTTTTAGGGGGTTTTTGTTTTGTTTTTAGATACATAGGACTTTTTTTAATGTAAATATACAATTTAGCAAAATTATTGTTATATATCTATATAGATTGTTTTTTATCTATTCTTATTTTTTAGGTGTGTGCTAAGTAAGTGTAACTACCTTTTATTAAGTCGTTCTTGTTCATGATACAGGTTATGTACTCTAGATTCAATTTTTTGTTTCATAAACTTTTGTAACAAAATAATCAATTTTAATATAAATATATTGTTAAATAATTAAAAAAATGATTGGAATTTACTATTACTTATTATTACAAATATACAATTGAAAACTGGCCTTTACTATTAATTGTAAGTCTTATTTCATCTTTCCAACGAATTAAAACTTTAATATGCCTTAGTTGGAAAATTTATAACAATTTTTCAGTTCAGGACTGAACTGAAGAAATGTGTTTTAATTAAATCACTGTGTAGTGGGATCATCACATCCTTTATGTTTCTCTTTGAAGTTAACACATACACTGTTTCAAAATAGTCATCCATCCAAATACTAAGCATAACCATAATCATTTATCTTTAGTTATTGAACAAGAATTAGTTTTTTCAATCAGACAAAGTTGTTGACTATTATTTTTAATATTAAAAAATTCTAAAATAAATAGAACGACTTCTATCCCATTTTGCTTATCCTACTATATCTTATAGTCTTTTTGAATTTCAACTAATTAATATTTATATACGTTTTATATATTGATTAAAATGCGATGAATTTTTTGCTGATTTTATTTTAATTAATATATACAGATTGATCTGCAATAGATTGTAATAAAAACTTTACTCTGCATCCTCCTCATCGTCATCTTCTTGACTGTTAATCTGGAAGTATCTTAATTCGTATGTCTCCTTATCTTGAGACACTACGCGTAACCAGTCACGCAATTTGTTCTTCTTCAAATATTTCTTCGTTAAATATTTAAGATACCTGTGTTAATAAATGTGTTAGTGTAAATTGATAAATATATATATATATATATATTAAATATTCCTTACGAATGTCTACTTTATTTGGAATGGAGATGCTTAATCTCACATAAATAATTATTAAATATACACACTATAGAATATCTCATTTATATATAGTACATACCTTTTAGAAAAATCAATGTCGCTGTTAACTGAAAGCTTCATTTTGTTACGCTCAATGGAAACATTGTTTCCAAAGTTACCTGTCTTCCCGCTTACTTTTATTCTTTCTTGGAGGTATTTTTCCTAAAAGTTTAAAATTTGTGATCGATTAATAACTTCTTTACCAGACATATAAATAAAAACTAAGCAAAACTGAACAACGAATATAGTAGGCATGAATGTATGATTAATAATATGTAAATAGAACAAATAATATCGATAGTAGGCTACTAGTAATGTATAAAAATTAAAACATATTTGTAAAATTATGATTCTCTAAAGGTATGAAAGGTTATAATTGTTGTAGTTGAAATTGAGGTTAGATACAATCTAAATGTTTGTTGACTAAATAATAGACTTATAAAAATATATACATAACAATAGATATTATAAAACTTACAAAATTAGCTACATCCATAATATTATCCTCCACAGGATGCGTGCAGTCGATCGTAAATTTGACTGACACTTTCTTCTTCTGGCCCTTACCCCGAAGGGCTTGCTTTTTGCTGTTTGAGCCTTTGGCTTTTTTGGCAACCGTCTGAAATAAAAATATCAAATAAAACAGGATTTATTAATATTAAAAAGACATACTAATTCTGAAGTAACACGTGATAAAGCCATCAAAGTGTTTTCATAGCCAAAAGTATATCGATTTTATTTCACGTCATCTTTCCAAATAATCGACGTTAATTAATGCACGACGTTAAAGTACAATTAAATCTTTTACATTGCAATTATAGTTTTATCATTAAATAGCATATGTAATCCTTATACTTATTATTTTGTTCAAGATCAAACTTACCAAAGCCATATTTCCAGTTTAAGAGAAATTAAAAAGAATCTTCCGCTTCGTTGCGACACTGTCGTTTGTATCAGGGTTGCTAACTTTTCTCCCTAGACAAAAAAACACAACAAAAAAAAGGGTTGCCAACTCTTAAGATTTGAATGTAAGCATTACTTGTAAGCGACATGTATATAAGTAAAAAAGTTTATATTAGTTAATCAACTTTTTATAATACATAAAGAAAATGCAGGTATTAAATTTGCGATATAAAAAATAAAATCTTTTTACTGTTTGATCATATCGCTCAAGATGTGGAACTTCAGCGCCAGATGCGGATAAGAAGGAACTAAAAGTGCGCTAGGAAAATTTAACTTCTTTTCTCGAATGATATCATTTATTGTTAGTGTGTGTATATTTGGACAGGTGTATACGTACTTACGTTTGTGTCTTCGCGGGAAGTTGAAGAATCGAACTGAGATGCTAGACAATAGGTATGTTGTTATCAATTTTTTTTATAAATATGTACAGTAGATCTCTGTATAATGCAAGTTCCTTAAGAAATTTCCACATTTAACCCTTTCGTTATAGCATACTTTGGCGCGGTATCGTTTAATATAAATTTGTTTATACATACATATTGTTGCATGGTATACGACACCTATATGGGTCACTAGTAATAAAAAGAATTATATATATAAATGATATAGTTTTAAATAATATAATTTAATAAACGATTTTTTGTTCAACTTGTTAAGCAATAAATAGATATTCAATTACCTATGGTAAAATTATCAATTTTTATAAATGGGTGGGTTGAAAAGTTCTAAACTTAACATAGAAATAAATTTTTATTGGCGACACTCATTTTTATTTAAAAGAAGTATAACTTGAAAAAGAAAAAGGTTTCTTTTTGCTAAGGTTCTAAACTTTTCAACTTACCCTGATATATTCACAAACATGACAGAGGATGAATGGAAAAAGTTAACTTTATCATTTGTACATTAATCTTCCTCATAACTTTATTTAAGCCTAAGGTACAATAACATCTACGTCAAAATATGGCTAGATCAACGCAGATTTATGATGCATTTAACTCAATAAATATTGCGATGATAATTCTATCAATTATACACAATAATCTGTTAACCTGCCTAAGTTTTTTGGAGTTCGTCTTACATAATTATTCTAACTATACTTACAAATCTGTTTATTTTATTGGTTTCTCTTTATTTTTTTTATTTTTATCGCCATACGCGCGTGTATGTATGTATATATATATATAGAATCGTGTGTGTGTGTGTATTTAAAACTATAATAAGATTATAATAAAAGTAGAGGGGATAATGTAATGTGTGTATGTGTGTGTGGGTGTACGAGGACGTATATGATGTTTTCTTGTGAATAGAGTGTAATAAGCAAATTTTTGAAGCCAGAATTTTCGAAAATACTAATTTAAAGTATCTTAATTTTGATATTTCCAAATCTTTCCATTTACTACGATAGGAAAAATTGATTTTCTTCGAAGAATGATCATCGCACGTGTCAGCGAAAGAAAGATTTTTCTATAAAATTTCATTTAACGATATTTTTATATATTTCATTTTGCGAAGAATACGTAAATTGGAAAGATTTTATTCTTCAATCGGTTTACTGTCGCTCATTAATTTTCGAAAATTTGGCATAAGCATAACGTGATGTCTCTCTTAGTATTTTATTATTATTATTATTATATATTATATATACTATATATAATATATATCTTACTAACCTTTTATTTTATTCTTTTTTATTCTGAAAATGTAGGAATCAAAGGATCGTCCTGGCAATACCATTTAACAATAAATAGGCTTTTTGTACATGTATACACGTATGTGGTATGTGTGTACAATCATACAATATGAGGAGAGGACATTTAATCGTAACATCGTTTAATGGCGCCGTCATAAATGCAACTACATACACACGACACTTTTTTTATTTGATCAACAACGTTTTTCTTGCTTTTTTCTTTTTCATTTTTTCTTGTCGAAGTGAAATTTCTTTAGTCGCATTGAGTGTGATTTTTCAATATCATCAGGAAAATGGAAACGACGCGCACAAAAAATGTATAACCATGGAAAAGCAATAAAAAAATGTTGCCCAGCATGTTTATGCAACTTAGCAAATATCGTATGTCGTCGTTTATTGATTTTTATAATTCAAATTGAAATATTTGGAGAGCGCAGTTGCTAGCAAACAACTTATCAATTTCATCTATGCTTCGTACAAATTTTCCTGACTAAATCCTCTATACGTTCGATCAGTAATAACCTGCTTAGAAACCGAGTGATTCATATTCTACACAATAAAAGCATTTTTCGTAAAAGAAATTAGAGAGTCCGCAAATGGAATTTTTTAATTGTGTCTTCACAACTATGATTTCTAAACATTTGTATCTGATTTTTAAGAATCAATAATTGACGACGTATGAACCTCGTTGTATCACGCGAACATAATATATTATTATATATCTTTTTTTCGAATACTTGAATCAATAAAATAATAATAATAATTTAATCTTTTATCTTTATTTTTACACTAATTTAAAAAAGAAAAAGAAGTTTCACTTCTTGTTCGCATAGTATATTGCACGCTCAATCGTTTTTATTTAGATTTTTATGTACGTTCAAGCTTAATTAGGCCAATATGAAACTGGATATAAGGATCATTGAATTATTCGAGTTTCAAGATCTCTATTTATCGCGAATTATACGTAGAAATGTGTAAACGAAATAAATAAATAATAATAATAATTCTTAGAGACTAAATGAATATAATGAATGTTTCTATTGGTAGAAATACATTGCGATCTCAAGGCAAATATTACGATCGCACATTTTGTTTAATATAAATTATAGATCAGAAAAAAAGAAGCTTTTATAGATTTTGGCTATTTCGTAATATATATAATATCCTCCTCATTAGAATATATATTTATATATTCTTTAGGCTCGCGAGAATAAAAGAATTAGAGGAACTAAAAAGGAATACAATTATGTAAAACGTGCCTTATAGACAATAACGAATTTTCTACTTTGACGTGATATTTATTTTTCAGACGCGCAAAAATGTCGAGCTCCGATGACAATGGCGGTACAACGTGTATAGATAATTTGTTAGGTAGTAACAGTTGTATTTATGTATGTATATATACAACTATTACTATGTATTTATATATATAATAATGAAGGATATAATAAATTTAACACTAACAACTCTTCACCCATTATTTTTTTTCGTTATGTACGTGTCTCTTGTAACACACGTTCTTTCGTTTAATATTTGTTAAATTTATATACTTATATCTGTTTATTCTTACACTGACAATTTTTAATAA